CCTTCTCTCTTTCTCTTTCTCCTTTACTTTTTCCAATATTTCTCTATCTTTCTGTTACCTTTGTCTCTCTAACTCTCTCTCTCTCTCTCTCTCTCTTTATCCTCTCTTCTCTTTCTATTGTCTTTATTTGTCCTCTCTATCTTTTATTGTCTTCTCCATCTCTTTCTTCACTTTCTCTCTCTCTCTGATCACTGTCTCTTTATTTTTCTCTCTTTCAACCTCTTGCACTGTCTCACCAGACGTTGGGGGATAGAACCATCATCAGCAGCTCTGTTATCAGTTGAAAACTGCTTTTTAATATGTAGAATGTCATCCCAACCTTTATCACTTTCCTGGGACTGGGAGGACAACCCCAATCCCAATGAAAAACATGGACCTTCATCCATTTTCTTTTTGTATGCAGCCCTCTTCCTAATCGCACGCTCAATCTTCTCAATAACTGTAATTGTTTATGGATCTTCCGAGAAAGCAATTGTTCCTTCACCATCTTGAAAAGAATCTGTCTTCTGAGAAGATTGAGGTATATCAGGATTGAAGGAAATAAGATTTTCTATTGCTTCCTGTATCCTCTTATAATTTAAATCATCTGTCACTTCATGGGGCGAATCTTCAAGCAAGGTTAAAATATCAACCACATCATTAGCCAAACACATTACTTTCATAAGAAGCTTGGATTTATAAACCTGTTTATAAAAAAATTAAACAGAGTGAACAATTATAAGAAATTATGGAGAAAAAATAAACTAAACATGCATAATAAAAGAAGTAAATATGCAACTAGATAAAACTAAACTTGTAACAAAAGATAACTAACCTTGCAGCTACAGACAACTAACCTTGCAACTACATAAAACTGACCTTGCAACTTAGATAGAACTAACCTTGCAACTGCAGACAACTAACATTGGTACTTACATAGAACTAACTTAGCAACTACAGACAACAAACCTAGCAACAAGAGACAAATAACCTAGCAAGAACAAAAAATAACACTATAACAACAAAAAGCTAACTTTGCAACTACAGACAACTAACTTTGTGTAATACCCCGTTTCATTTTAGATTATTGGAGAATAATTATTGATTATTGCTATTATTAAATTGCCTTTATTATTATTATTATCATTATAGTTATCATTATTATAATTGCTATTAACTGCCTAATTGCTATTATTTATTTGTTATTAGTAATATTGCTATTATTAATATTAGTTGTCTAAATATTATTATTTGCCAAATTGTAATCATTTGTCTAAATGCATATTTTTATTATTAATATTATTATTTTAAAATATTATGTGTTTTACATATTGTCCGGTTTATTTTTACTTGTTCATCGTCGTCTAATCGAATCGATCGAAATCCTTGTTATCGCGTGTATTCTTCCGGCCCTTTCAATTTTCAGCCTGTTGTTGTTGGCCCAAATTCCTTGTTATTATCTTGGCCCAAAAACCTTTGAATACCAAATTAATTTTGAGCCTAATATGGAGTTGAGGAAATAGGCCCAACAAGAATTAAATTCTTGACCTCCTTCACGCGTGACCAGATCGAGTCATCCGCTTCGGCCGTTTGAATTTCTGTTCCGATTATCTGGTGAAGTCCTCGCACGATCTCCTCATCCTCGTCGCTCGCTTTTAAAATCAGAATACTTGGTCAAGTAGTGAACTCAGATCATATATCCCTCTCTCTCTCGCATTCTGATATATATAAAAAATAAAAAATAAAAAAAATCGCTACCTGCAATTCGGGTGAAGAACCCATTGTTTCCGGCGGACATCCTCGCTGTCGTCGTGTTCTTACGAATCCTCACGATCAGAAGCTTTCGTCCGACCCCGAGCAACGAACCAGCCAGCCCCGCAAATCTGTTCGGCGATCACCGACAAAGCTTAGGTCACCATTAATTCCGGCGACCTGCAACTCATTCGGCCGTCCTCTTAGGTGCTGTTCGTCTCCGTCGTTCCTCACAGCATTCCAGTCCGAGAGAGAAAGTTGCAGGCCATTACATCGACGTGACAAAGAGTTCCAATTTCAAGGTTTTTGAAGCCGTTCATCCGACCCGTTGTCGGACCCGTTTTTCGTCCGATAACTCGTAGCTTCCCAAAGTCGGGTAACTTATTCGAATCCTCTCTTTATTGCGATCGTTTTCATATATCGCACGTTATATATATGATGTGTTCGGTTTACCGAAAATTGATTTGAAGTCGGATTGTTTTTGGTTCACTTAAATTGTTTGTGTGTATGTTTCGTTTATTCGTGGACTTTCGGGAATGATTGGAACTCTCGATTTTATAAACGTGTATATCTTTATGTAGCTGTGGTAAAATCCTTTAAGTATGGAGTCTCGTTTTACCGTTTTCTGAGCCGTGTAATTGCCGTTTTGTGTCCCGAGCAAACTTGTATTTTCCTAGGAATGTTATTAGCAGCAACTCTGTCCTCTGTTCAATCTGTTCTAGTCGCAGACGTTTGTTTTAGTTCATTAATTTATTATTGCGTCTAAAGTAGCATGTGAGCGTGTGGCGCAGTGGTTACTGAGCTATTTTTTGTATAGGACGTCGCGTGTTCGAACCCAGCGTTGTGTGTGGTAGCCTTTCTTTTTGCTAATTTCAGCTCCTAGGCGCGCGGGCCGCTTGGCCCGCTCCAGCCCGCGCGCGGCCCAATCCTCCAAACAGCTTCAGCCCGCGAAGGCCCAGTCCCGGCCCCCGTCCTACAAGCCTTAGATGCGGCCCAAATTGCTTGTTGTGGCCCAATTTTATTGGAAGCCAGGCCCAATTCCGGGACAATTACAGCCCAGTTCGGTTTTTAGCAACATTTTGTGTTTTGAAGCCCGTTTTTCGACCCGAACTTGTTTTTAAAATTATTTTCAAAGTAGAAAAATTTTGGAAAAATTATTTTAAGTTCCGAGACCCCAATTTACTTCTCCGAGTCATTTTTTTTAAAAAATGAGAGAGTTCCAAGTCCACGAAAAATCTTATTAAAACCCGTTAATCTTAATTTTTATTAAGTCTGGGTTTTACGTTAAATTCGAGTAGTGAGATAAATTATTGATAAATTATCTCGCTTAAATGTAGGTGTTTGAGGAGTCGAGCCTCATCCTACGTGCTTGCTTTTGTATGCCATTTTCTACCGAAATTTCCAGGTGGGTTGTTATTGTAAAATTTACTATGCCTTAAATGTTATTACTGTTTTAATTATGGTATGATCAAAGTATGCATGTGAATCATGTAGCCTTCGGTGTGAGCTGTATCGGCCACCGGACGGTTGTCCCCGTAGCTATAGAACGTACCTTCGGGTAGTCTCCCTTGAGAAGCCGTAAGACCAGGGCTTAGGTCCCTCGGCCGGTGATCCTCATTGGTAAGTCCAAGGCAAGACCTTGGCCGGTGGGGTGGTTTACTCCTACTGGCTGGCACTCGATGTAGGACCGGAGGGCATTCGATATATAGTCAGCAGTAGTCTATGCGTAGGTGTGCACATGAGTCTGATTATTGTATTATTTGGATAGATTATTGTTTCGTATACATGCTGTGTAACATCCTGACTTTTTATCAGTATAATAATATTTTAGTTCCGATAGTATTATTCGGAATTAATTAATTTCAGTTATTTCAGTCGAAATTACCGGAACTTATTTTCGACGTACCAGTTACGTTCGGAATAACTTTGGTAATTTAGCATTATGTTTAATTGGATAATTAAACAGAATTAAGTGATTAATTTAACTTAATCACGAGATTATCTTAATGTTCGGATTTTTATCCCTAGTCATGCATTGCCGTGTGCTATGTTCTAGTGTTAGTATATTTTCGTTCAAGTTCATGTACTTAGTGCCGTGCATTGCATACTATAGCCGTGAGATATAGTGTTGTTTTTCATGCTAAGTAGCCGTGCATGTTCATTGCTAGAGATTCGGTCCATTTCATGTGCTTATTGCCGTGCATGTGTTAATGCATTTTGCTAAGTATCCGTGCCCATCGTTGCCATGGAGACCGTGCATTTTGTCCTTAAGCCTTGCCAATTTGTCCAAGATTCTCATGCTTAGAAACCGTGCCCTCATTTGTATTTTAGTGCATGTTGGTATTGTCTTTTGTGTGCATAGTTGTCCGCAATTTCTCCCCCCATCTTGGTCCTTCACGTGAGCTAATGAGGCCAAGGAGAGTTAGCATTTTTTTTTTCATGTTGGCCATGTGTCCAAGCACATTGACCGAATCTTTCCCTCACCCTCATTGCCTTCGGTTTTTATTTAAGTAAGGCCTTGGAGAAATTGTTCTTTTTTCTTCACGCCTTAGTCCTCATTGCCGAGAGTTTAGAGAGCTATTAGTGAGTGTTTGGAGTGAGTTTGGAGGGTTATGCGGGAGCACATTGCCGAGAGCAACCGCTACGCCGCAAGCTACCACACGCTAGTCCGAGGCATCGCACACACGCAACGCACGCACGCGGAGGGACGACCGAGAGCACGGGTAGATTAACCTCTTGAGCTTTATAAGAGGTAAGTTCCCGTCGATTGTTGTCCGAGAATATCATGTTTATTAAGATTAGATTTTATATGGTCATGCATGCGTGTTATGTGAATAGTCGTGCCGTTCATGTCATATTTTAAGTAAATTCTCCGAATCATGTTATGATTTTCAT